TGCCAACTTATCTATGCTACTTGCTAGCCTCTCCAATGCTAATGCCAGCTTATCCATGCTAGTCACTAGCCTCTCCAATGCTAATGCCAGCTTATCCATGCTAGTCATTAGCCTCTCCAATGCTAACACCAGCTTATCCATTCTTGTCTCTAGCCTCTCCAATGTTAAAACCAGCTTATCCATGCTAGTCATTAGCCTCGTCAATGCTAACGCCAGCTTATCCATGCTAGTTGCTAGCCTCTCCAATGCTAATGCCAGCTTATCCATGCTAGTCATTAGCCTCTCCAATGCTAACGCCAGCTTATCCATGCTAGTCTCTAGCCTCTCCAAATCTCACACCAGCTTATCCATACTAGTCGCTAGCTTCTCCAATGCTAACACCAGCTTATCCATTTTTGTGGCTAGCCTCTTCAATGCTAATGCCAGCTCATCCATGCTAGTTTTTAGCCTCTGCAATGCTAATACCAGCTTATCCATGCTAGTCGCTAGCCTCTCCAATGTTAAAGCAGCTTATCCATGCTAGTCGCTAGCCTCTCCAATGCTAACACCAGCTTATCCATGCTAGTCTCTAGCCTCTCCAATGTTAAAGACAGCTGATTCATTCTAGTCGCTAGCCTCTCAGATGCTAACCCAACAAATAGTCTCCTTGTAATTTGCCTGCACCAGCCTCTCAGTTAGCCTATCATTAATCAGATCAATAGCTGGTTTAGTAATATATACAGCCTCCTGCTACAAGGATGTAGCTACCGCTGGTTGTGCTATATATTCTTAATTTTGGCCCTCATACCGTGCCATAGTCTTCATGGTTACTGAATGATGCACACGAGGAAAACCACAACTTGTTATCTCGTGAAAACCATGGGGAAAATTTATCTGCAGAAAACATCCGCTGTCGGCTTTCATACATCACTTCCTGTAAGTTTCATTAAAAGGTGTCCAGTGGCTCATGAGATATTTTGCTAACAGTTAGCCCTAATAATGTTAGCATTTTAAGCAAAGACAGACCACAGCAGCGCCTGAAGGTAAACAGCCTGATCAGAATTTGTGCYGCCATGTTGAGATTAGCTACGTGTGGCGATGAGGTCATTCTTAGTTTCTGCCAGCAGACCATAAAATCACACGAAGAACTGAAACTCAAACATTTTGTCATTAATTGTTAAAATAATCAGAGGCAGCGCTTCAAAGAACACAAGGTTCTGTTTCATCTCTCACTTTAATAGTTCAGAACCAAACCTAACACACCTGTAATACTAAAATCAGTTCATACCTTCCAGAAACAACAACAAAAGCTAACATTTTTACCTTTATCAGATCTAAAGTTTTCAGTAAACTTCATCCAGTGCAGGCTAATGTTTCCTGTTCACCTGTCCTCCCCTGCAGGTGTATGTCTGCAGCCCTCCGGGATGCCGGCGTCTCACCAGCAGACGTGACGTACGTCAACGCTCACGCCACGTCCACACCTTTAGGGGACGCAGCGGAAAACGCAGCCATCAAGAGGCTCTTCGGGTCCAGCTCGGACCGTCTGGCCGTGTCCTCGACCAAAGGAGCCACGGGACATCTGCTCGGAGCCGCCGGCGCTCTGGAGGCAGCGTTCACCGCTCTGGCCTGCTACCACGGCACGCTGCCCCCGACGCTCAATCTGGACCGCACAGAACCCGAGTTCAGCCTGAACTATGTCCCCTGCACGGCCCAGCCGTGGCCCAGTCAGGGCCCGCGGGTCGCCCTCACTAACTCCTTTGGATTTGGAGGCACCAACGCCTCTCTGTGTCTCAGCAGCTTCGAATGAGTGCACAGGGTTAGAGCCAAATATTAAACTGTTCAAAACATCAAGTGATTGCAGTTCATCCTTATTTATTTACCTGTCTCTGACACTGAAATACCAGCAGTCATTCACAGACCGAATATTATTAAATATTCAACACTTTCAGCTACTACCACACCAACGACCAGCTCATTGTAAATGTACGAAAGATTGAAGCAGTTTGATTTGGTTAATGTTGATTATCTGTGGCAGACATTTATTTCTGAAAATTTCATTCAAACCTGTCTGGTGCTACATGAAATATTTTGCTAACAGTACAGATAAATACAGGTAAAAGCATGGCCACACCTGCAAGAAGGTAATAAAAAGTAACAAAAAAGTTTGTATTTATTATGCTGAAAGATATAAGTTTATACTTCCCACTCAAAATTCGATTCAAAAATTTTATTAACTTCATTAAAAACAAAATATCTATACACAATAGAAACAAATAAATTACACAAATAAAAAAATGAAAGTTAGCAGAAAAATAAATCATATAATGTCTGCCCCTTTTATCCCCAATATTCAAAGAAAAGATAATTTACAAAACTATACTAAATAAAGATAAAAACATCAACTCAAACAACAATTCAAATAAGTTCACACTTTGCAATTTCATACACCTTCAGAAAACTAGCTTTTATATGTCTCAAATATATACAGTACATAGATCTAGCATTTTTAAGATCATCCTGCAGACCATTCCACAATCCTATACCCTGGATTAAAATATACCCTGGATTAAATTATACCCTGGATTAAAATATACCCTGGATTAAATTATACCCTGGATTAAAATATACCCTGGATTAAAGTACATCTA